TTGCGAATATAATCCGTGACAATTTTAAGCCAAAGAAATTGGTTTTAAATATCTTACAATTAGCACATATGTTGTTACAAAAGTGTTATCGCATATGTGTAATGTGAAAGTGTGCAGTTTTATAGTCTTAGTGTCCTGCAATTAGAATCCAACATTTAAGAAAGGGCTTTGTTACATAAAGATAAAGTGAACATTTCTTACACCAAATCGATTAAGTTATATTTTAGTATCGCGTGAGTCCTTTTTATCAAATATCCGTTCGACTGAGAGTTGAACCCGGACTGCCCGCATGGCAAACGAATATTAGTGATAAATTAATTTACTTTCTGTGAACATTTACGAAACAGTACCTTTTTAATTGTATACCAAAGTAGAAAATGACGATTTAGAAGATTCAAATATGTTTTTCCAAGTATGCTATCAAACTTTTAATTCACAAAAGTAGGCATTATACCCTTCCATCGTTTTGTCTCTTTCTTTATTAACAGCCTGCATGCTTTACATTGATTGAGTAGGGTTTAGTCTAGAAAAAAAAAGCATTATATAATCTTAGACGCCAAACTTTTTCGTGAATTGGAGACAAATCCTCAACACATGTTATTGTTTCCAATATCAGGTACACCGAATATTGAGGACGAGACTGAAACTACAGGGATAGTAAATTATATCATCCTTATAAATAGTAAAAATTACCGAATCGCTACAATGTCTAAAAAAAATGTTTCTCTGGTTGGTAACTCAATCTGCACTTTTCTAAAATAGTATCTGCTGGTATTTTTTTTCTAGTCTTGTATCAATTCTCTTTTAAGTAATTTGTTCTACTAAAATTGCTGAATTGTCATTTTGAATCGGAAATGAATTCAAGGACGATGATGAGTTTAAGCCTTCATGGAGTTTTTCATGTTCATTTTTATCGTTATCTGCGAAATGAAAAAAATACCATATGTGTATCGCATCAATACTGTGTGGTAATTAATTTTTCTTGGGTGAGATTCTGGATGTGCCAAACTAACGCGTTTACTATTAAAAATACTATTTGGCTCACTCATATCTACGGGATTTATTTCATTAAAAATAAAATCGTTGAGCGTCCGATTCGACGGTCGATCGAGGTTGACGGTCAAAGGTTATTAGGCCTACTACTACTGCTCTAGGTCACAAAGGCAACTACTAGATGATTAAATAACGTGTGTGTGTTGCATCAAATATTAACGCTTCAATCTGGACCCTTTTACGATTTGTTACAAGAGCAAAGGCAACTTTTTTGGTTAATTTACGAATTGCAGCAGCTATATTTTCAATAGGCCTAAGATATTCGCGTAATATGCGAAATCCTGTGAATTTTTTCTGGAGAATTTGTGTTGCTGACTTGATAATGGCAAAAATTAGCACAGAATATTGGAAATTATAGTCTTTATTGTAATAGAATTAAAAAATATAAAAAAGATAAGGAATTATAATTACTTAGGGTATATAGTTTAAATGATAATAATAGGGATGAAGTGTATATTATGAAGCAAGTTGCTAAAGGTTGGGCAATGATGGGAAGATTATGGGGTTTGTGTCAGAAGATATGTAAGGATGACTGGGGTAGAAGAATGATGTTATTTAAGGTGATGATGAGGAGTATAGTGTTTTATGAGATGGAACTATGGGAACGGAAAGAAAAAAGCAAATTTTTATATAAAAGATATATATAGTGGATACTAAGATTAGAAAGAAGTACGCCAGATTAAGTAATAAAAAGGGAGACGAAATGTGGAACGGTATGGGAAATATGAGGAAAAGTTAGAGAGGCTGAAAGAAGAGGACATAAGGAAGGAAATAATGGAAATAGGTCAAAAAGTAGATATGATAGAGAGAGGGACGAAACGTTGAGGATTTTAAAATTCGAACAAGAACAGACGAGGATGTGGTTCAGGGAGAAAACGAAGGTAGGAGAAATGGTGACGAATGGATGCAGACAAGTAATAAGAGAAGAAGATTCATGAAAAAAAAAGAGAGGTCTTGATATGTAATGGGGGTAAAGGCGATAGTATGGAGGGACTGGGAGGACAACTGGATGTCAGGGTATTTAGAAAGAGGGAGGGAAATAAGTGTATTGACAAGATTTAGGACAGGGAATGAGTGTAGTGGATGTAGATTTCGGAATAAAAGAAAAAAGACGATGCTGAATATGCAAAAGGGAGGAAAAGAGCTTGAAGCATCTGTTAGGAGGATGTAAGAATAGTGGGACATGGGAAGAATGCTACGGGATGGTAAAGGAGGATGGAGGTGGGCTGAGTGGTCTAAAGAGAATTTTAAGGGGTAGGAGGGCAGAGTGGAATATACTATAAGGAGTAGGTAGGGAAAAAAGGGTACAGTAGATTTTTTTTGTATTTGGTTTGTTTAGTAATAGAATTATCACTTAAGATATAAGAGAATGAATTATAACGTATGTGTGTAACATTTTAACTTTTGGTTAAATAAATATGGACGATGAGCGCGGCGGAAAAGAAAAGGTTAGAAGCCTTCGCAATATTGTGTTATAGGCGAATGATGAGGATAACGTGGGTAGAAAAGGTTAGAAATGAAGAGGCATTGAAAAGAATAGGAGAACAGAAGACTTTGTGGAAATCAATAAAAAATAGGCGAGATAGGTTGGTAGGACACCTTCTCAGGCACGAAGGTCTAGTCAAAGACATATTAGAGGCAGAAACAGGAATTAGGAGGGGTAGAGGTAGATCTATATTAGATAACTGTTGGAGAAACAGTAGTTGGGAGGGGTAGAGGTAGACCTAGGTTAGATAACTGTCGGCAAATAGTTAAGGATGTGGGTTGTTCTAGTTTTAGGGAAATGCGAAGTTTAGCTCAGGATAGGAAAGAATGAAGGTACGTGTCCAACCAGTCTTAAGACTGACGACCTTATGATGATGATGATGATAATTAAAAATAAAGAATTCGTGATACCTGGGAAAGCTAAATTTGATCCTCTCATCTTAACAATTTTATCCACTGTTAGAATTCATTCACGTTAATACTGAGTTTGTGTACAATTGATATTGTATATTGATAGAGTTTCTTCGGTTATTCATGGTGATTTTCTGTTAAATGTAATTACCAACTCTGAATTTCATGATAATGAAACGAAACGTAGGAATAATGTTTACGAAAGTATGAGACTGGATAAAATAAATAGCTTCATTCCTTCGAAATATAACAGGACATATCTGCTGTGGTAGATAGTATTGTCAACATGAGAATAAATAAGAACGTAACATGGCATTCTACCCCACAGTAAGGTTATATTTCGTCTGTTCTCAAGCATTTCGTTTGCAGTGACTTGTTTAAAAAAACTAAATGAACACGAGCTCCGGATTCACATTACAAAATTGTCACATATATTTTGCACGTTCGCACAAACATTTTACAGGAAAAGTATTACATTTCCATACCCTTCCAGAAATTTAAGACGAAGTTTTTGTTTCCATGTAACAGCGAACCGCAGCTGGCAATTTCAGCTAGGGTAGTCCACATTTTTTGTCTGATTATATTTGCTAAAATAAGTATTAAAAAAACATACACACTTGAAAAAACTTATAGTACCTACCTATTTTATGAACATGGTAAACAATACAAAGGTGTTTTAGAAAATACCACAAATGGCGCGGTAAACGCCATCTGTAGTACGATGCTAAATTTTAGGATTACGTATGTACCGCGCCATTTGTGGTATTTTCTAAAACGCACTGTTAAGACAGCAGGTAATAGTTGGTCTGTGTTCTGTCGGAGCTGTCAAAAAGATCGAAATCGCGATCCGCGTCGGGAAGTTTCAACATAATACAGACCACTTCGAATTATTTTATTCGATTAAGCTAACGTGCCTATCACGTTGAGGTCAGCTACGCCGGGATTAGTTTCAGCAAGTAGATATCCATATATTTAAATGGACCTTGTTGGAGCAAACGTAATCCTAAAATGTAGCATAGTACTACAGATGGCGTTTACCGCGCCATTTGTGGTATTTTCTAAAAACGCACTGTTAAGACAGCAGGTAATGGTTGGTCTGTGTTCTGTCGGAGCTGTCTGCGACGCGCTGATGAGATCCAGAAAGATCGAAATCGCGATCCGCGCCTGGCAGTTTCGACAGAATACAGACCACTTCGAATTATTTTATTCGATTATGGTAACGTGCCTATCACGTTGAGGTTGGCTACGCCGGGATTCGTTTTCAGCAAGTAGATATCCACACAAGTGGACCTTGTTGGGGCATACGTAATCCTAAAATGTAGCATCGTACTACAGATGGCGTTTACCGCGCCATTTGTGGTATTTTCTAAACACACTGTTAAGATAGCAGGTAATAGTTGGTCTGTATTTTGTCGAAGCTGTCTGCGTCGCGCTGATGAGATCCAAAAAGATCGAAATCGCGATCCGCGTCTGGCAGTTTCGATAGAATACAGACCACTTCGAATTATTTTAATACAAAGGTGTGTTTGCATCTTGACTATTTTTATCAAAACTATATTTTTTGGCACATACTTGTTTCTTTCATTATTTTTTTGTCTACAATAAAAGCGTCACAATTCGAATTCTACTTAATGTAGATCGAAAGCTAATTCTTTGTTAATACTCTCTTCTCTCTTTTCGCCACTTCAAATTTATAATTGAGAATATGTTTTCTGCGAATACTTACGTTGCGGAACGAAGAACTGAAGAGCAGGAGCGAAATATTCATTTATAAAATTAGTAGGGAAACAATTTTTGGTAATATGAAACACTTTGACATTTAATAGCAGTTAATATCAAATATTAATGTGAAAATTCCTATACAATTTTTTACCAACTATAAACTACCTCAGGTTAATGAAGGAAAATTTGTTACAGTTGTGACATTAATATTTGATATTAACTACTATTAAAGGTCAAAGTGTTTCATATACATATAGTATTAATATAATTACATCAGTTCTACAAATCTGTGACCTAATAGGTACGGTTTGCCGTTGTCGGTGTTGTCATCTCTCGTAGCTTAGTGATCAGAGTATTGGTATGCAAAGCCAAAGGTCCCGGGTTCGATTCCCGACGAGAGTGTGACAACAGCAACAATTAACTTGAGGTATTTTATAGTAGGTAAAAAACAGAAACTGAATTTTCACATTAATATTTGGCGTTTTGTAAAATATGTTGCTATTTTTAACCTGTGAACCACAGTATGTACAACGGTGAATTAAACATCAATAATTTTGTTCCAAAATAAGCGTATGCTGGCAAAAAAATAATGGTTCAATATACAGGATGTTTCTGAAATTAGCAGCAATTTTGCAGGAGGTGATAGGGCTCTATTAAACAAGAAAATTAAGTAAACACTTGGTGTTCCAAAAGTCCACCTTTTTCGAGAAATACGTACAGGTCTGACGAAGGAAGCTGGCGAGCAGTCGCGCAGGTATTTGCCCATGTATGACCTGTTTGGGTAAGTCACTTGGAACCGATGCACAAATAAGCTTTCAGTAGGTGTAAATTATACTATTAATACAGATAGGACAGTAGCGTATTAGAAAATAATGTAGAAACATACCTTACCAAAAAGAAAAATAAACCTATTGCTTTGGTTTTATAGTTAGTTTTCACATTCACTGTCATCATCGGAATCTCTATCACTGTCACCAACATCAACAATTAGTGCTTCTGTTTGTCTATCTATTACTTGCTCACTGATCCCTATTATTAAATATTTAATCTACGCCCCTGATAGGAATACTGAAGAATGAGGGCTGCAATCTTTATATCTAAAACTGCCTACTTTTGCCACCGCGCATCCACGCCATTTGAAAATTTCCGCCAGCTTCCAGCGTCAGGCCTATATTTGAATGTTCAAGCAAGGGCCAGTCCTGCCCTGGTAGGATCACACATGGAAATACGACATTGCAACGCCGCATTCAATCAGCTGCTACTTATAAGCATCCGTGTGGTATTTCTTTCGTATTTTTGTGTTCATGTAATGTTTGTTGTTTGTTAGATTTGATTACTAGTTAAGATAGGACTTTTAAATTTGAACTGAAGGAATATTTTATGGTACCAACTCAGGAAGAAAGCTGAAATCTTTAAATTTCAAATTTTCAGTAATGTTTTTTCAAAGGTATCATACTGTTGTTTGAAAAGGTCAGGAATACATTAAATAGAAAAGTTCACTCTTCCAATTTACCTCTGAAATTTCGTGTCATGAAACTTCCATCCACGACAGACTTAAAGCAAAGACATCAGAACGCCATTTGTATTATTTCAGAGAGACAAAACAATGGTCTGCTTCAAAGCGGCATGTTTACCTACTTCTCTAGGTTGACAAACGTCACCTTTCTTCTTCCTTCCTCTTTGTCTGTTGTTTCATTTCTCCAATTTATCACATGCTTACCGCAGACGCGTTCCATTTTGCCCGCAAAACACAATCGTTTGTATTCCAGTTTCATCAAATATCCAATTCTTTGTAACCGGAAGTTTCTATCCGCATGAAGGAATAGACAGTCGCAGTCGTAGCGCAACCGGAAGCTGCCTCTAAACTGATTTAACAGCGTCTCTGTTTGTTTATATATCTACGTTTACAGTTTGTTTAGGTGGATTGCGAAACGCTGTAGAATTTCACTCAAACCACTGCGAATTACATAAATGTTTTACTAAGGGTAAGTGTTTTTTGGCGCAAGATGCAACAGAATAATACATTACAATGTAAAGAAAATCTTTTACGGGGCGCCTTGTTAACTGTAAAAAGGTGGAATACGAAAATAGGCGGACTGCAGCTTTCCTAGAAGTATCTAACTTACCAAAAAATATGCTATGCTCGAACATTGTAAAATTATATACGAGGTTAATCCAAAAGGTATCCGGCCTACATCATGTCTCCGCACTGGCGTTATTTTTCGTCATTGGCATTCTTCAAAGTTGTCTTTATTTGATTGAATAAATTCCCCCCCCCCCCGGGGGATTCCACTTTCCGAAGCAGTCTGGAAGTCATTTTTTGGAATAGCCTTAAATGTCCTCATCGCATTATCTTCAACCATCTTTTTGTCGTCGGGAACAGCCAAAAATCACAGGAGGCTACGGAGGTTGGCGAAGTATATGATATTGTGTTTGGTTAAAAACTGCTGCACTAAATTCGATCAGTATGCTGGCGCATTATCGTGATGGAGAAGCCTGTCACCACTTGACCAAAACTGTGGCCTTTTTTTCTCACCGTATTATTAAGCAATCGATTCAGAATTTCAACGTAATATTCCTTATTATTCGTCTATCGGTGCATATTCATGGTGCAGAACACAAACTGTTTTACAAACATTTTGCATTTAATCCATGTAAATAATATTAGTATAAATACTGTGTAAATATATGGAATAAATTAGTCTCGCAAACAGATTCATCTATCGGCCTCGCAAATAGACTGGAGCCTGCATCTTTATCTGTTAGAGTCACGCAGGCTACATCTGTAATTGTGTTTCTATTTTAATAAAATATAAAGAGTCTGTTCAAAATTTGTTGATGTAAAATTCTCAGGAAAGAGACAGGTCAATTTTCGAAACATAATGGTCTGTCCAGACGTCTGTCGCATACGTACAAAAGGCGTACATTTAAATCTTCGTATTACTGGACACCCAGCGGACTTTCAAGTTCTACGAACACGTAAATGTACGCCGCTGTTTATATAGGTAAACCGGAACAGACGCTTGTGTTCCGAAAATCAACCCATCTCATTTCTGAGAATTTTTACATCAACAGGCTTTAATAGCAATAAAACAATATCTTGTTATGACATTACGTCGCCATCCACTGATATCTAAGCATTTTATGTTTAGCAAGACCTTCATCAGATATCTATTTGTCTAATTGAATAGACGGCTCGGCTTCATATCATGTATCATTCTAAACCTACTTCATCAGCAAGTAGCGAAATTAATAAGAGCAATGTAAATTGTCGGTTATTAATTTATCAGAACTATGCAACTTCGATTTAACTAATTAGATCTCATCAGCACGCCTTGGACAGTTTCAATAAGTCACCGATTAATGCATAAGCGGTAATTTAACTATCAAAATGAAGAAGAGTACCTGGGTAAATGATTCTTAAAACAGGAATTAAAATAGACTCTCTTTAAAAGTGCTTCAGAGTTAATTTGTTTGTTGTTGCCATGAGTAATTCCTGGTTACCTATTTGCGCATTTATTTCCATATTGTATCCACAAGTACTAGCTCTGTTCGAAAAGTATCGCGAATTTAAAATTTCCGCGGGTTAATATTCGATTTTCGATTTTAATGTGGCGTTATGTTGGTACTCATATCTCTCACTTATATCGAAAAATTCGACCATGTTGAATGTTCTTTTGTTTTTGACAGCTGCTTTGCTTGCACGTGTTTTGGCTCGTCTTCGATTTTTGCCTATTCCAAAAAATGGATCAAAGAATCTGTATCTAATTTTGTGTAAAAAACAAAATTAAGTGCGTGAACGCATTCCGAATGTTGATTGTGAAATATGATGAAGCTACCTTGGACCGAAGCCACGTTTATCGGCGGTACAAAATGTTCTTAGATGAGGGCCGAGAAGATGTGAACGACGAAGAGCGTGGCGGACGCCCGAGCACCTCAAGAACAGACGAAAACATCGATGAAGTGAAGAAAATAGTATTGGCCCATCGTCGAATCACAGTTAGAGAAGTTTCTGACAACCGAAACATATCGATTGACTCCTGCTTACCAATTATTTGCGCATGAGACAGGTCTCCGAGGAAAATCGTACCCTAATTGCTCAATTTCCACCAACAACAACATCGCATTAACATTGCTAAGGAACTGTTAGACTCTGTCACCAACGACTCAAATTTGCTCCAGACGGTTAAAACGGGTAACGACTAATCATGGGTTTATGGATGCTGCCACACGAGTAAGACTGAAAAAATCGCGCCAAGTTCATTCGAAGGGGAAGGTTTTACTTACTGTTTTCTTCGATTGCAGGGGAGTGGTGAATCCTGAATTTTTACCACAGAGTAGAACAGTCGATAAGGAATATTACCTGCAACGTATGCCCCATTTGCGCGAAGCAATTCGCCAGAAACGCCCGGATTTGTGAAAGAACAGAAATTGGCTATTGCACCATGATAACGCCCGTGCTCGCACATCGTTGTTTGTGCGAAAATTTTGGGCAAAAAACAACACGCTAATAATGTCACATCCACCATATTCCCCAGATCTGGCACCCTGTGACTACTTGTTCCTGAAACTGAAGAGGGCCATGAAAGGACTACGCTACGATTGAAGACGGCATCGAAGGAGGAGCTGAACAAGATCAAGAGTGCTTCGAGGATTGCAAAAAACGTTGACATAAGTGTATAACATGTGGTGGGGATTACTGCGCAACTTTTAACTGTTTCTAGCCTACAATTTACTAGGTATTACACGGGCATGAATTAATCTTCCTTTATTTTTAGGTTTGGTTAAAAATTATTATGTTATCTTAATATTCCTAGGGTAAGTCTCTTAAATAACAAATTATCTTAAAACCATTATTCTTAATATTGGAAGTTACCGCACATATGCTTTTCGTTCATCAAATACTTTTAAGTAGCGACCGAATGGATTTAGAAAAGTAATTTATCTTGCCATAACAATGAGCTTATCCCCAGTCGAGGTGATTTAGGGGCATTCAAGGCAATTTATTATTGAAATCCAGGGGCTTAAATGGGTTTCAAATAAGAAAAAAACGTAATTCAAATATACTTACTACTATATCTTTCCCCAGCATAAATTAATGCGTTCTTCTTCACGAATTTGTGATGTTTTCCCTATCCTGAGTATTCCCAATTAATATCTAAAGTGGTGTGTAATAATTCAAAAGTTCTAACATCTCCAATATGCTTATGATGTCGAACATTATATTCCTATTTATTTTAGATACGACAATGAAGAACAATTTTACTGATCGTGATTTACACAATATTCAAGTAATATTAAAAATAAGAAACTTTGATCTGAAGTAACATGCATACGCCAGCATCTTTTCAAGTCTTCGGATCACTTCCAATAGTAGCTTACCAATAGAGAGTATTTCAGCG